TTCTTTTTACGTATTATATTTTCTCTGAAAATCAGTTAGCTATTCAACAAAAATATTGTAGCTAGTCCAAGAAATATTAAAGCCGACAGTATATCAGTAGTTGCTGACGTTAGAATTGAAGAAGAAACGGCAGGATCGGATTTTAGTCTATTTAATGCTATTGGAATGAAGGCTCCAAAAAATGTTGCAATGATTGACATCATAATCATTGAAGCTGCGAAGACTAATTCTATCCCGATATCATGAAATCTTATGGCTATTACTGTTAATGAAATGGTCGATAAGATTACTCCGTTTATTAGCCCTATGGAAAACTCTTTCATGACTATCCTTCGTGCATTTTGTTCATTTAAANCTAATCGTTAGAGTAACTGTTTGAGAACCCGCGTTACCACTCATTGAAGCTATGATAGGCATAATAATAGGCAGTATTATAAAATTTCTTATCGTATGTTCAAAAAATCCGGTCACTACTGAACATATGGTTGCAGCTAAGAGGTTGAACAACAACCATGGAAGTCTTTTTATTATTATCTTGTGTAGTGGAGCGTTAATATCTGTTTGAGATAATACTCCACCGATCTTCAGTGCATCCTCTTCCGTTTCTTGCTGCACTACTTTTATTACGTCTTCTACTAAAATCACTCCTATAATTTTTCCATGCCTGTTTACCACTGGGGCTGATACTAAAGAATAGTCTTGAAATATCCGAGCTACTTCCTCTTGATCCATCCCAGTTCTAATAATTTTTATATCTTGGCTCATTATCTCTTGTATCACAGTATTACTTGAATGAGATATTACCCTATTTAAATTAACGCTACCTACTGGCTCCAATTTTGAATTAATGATAAAGATTTGATAAAATTTCTCTGGTAATTTTTTATAGTGGCAGAGGAAATCTGTTAATTGATTAATTGTCCAATAGTAGGGTGCAATAACCATATCTTTATGTATTAATCTTCCAGCACTCTCTTCAGGATATGATAATAATTCTTCTACTGATTTTCTAGTCCTGTCTGGTAAAGAACTGAGTATACTTTCCACTGACTTTTTGTCTAAGTCTTTCATTACTGTTACTATGTCTTCTATACTCAAAAGCACAAGCAGCTCTACTGTTTTTTGTATCCCAATTATCTCTATTATCTCCACCCTTAAATCTGGTACCACGTGCACCAAAGCATTGCTTAATGAATTCTGATCGAGTGCCATGACCAATTTTTCTCTGTGATCACTAATGGAAGTTGATAGGAAATAAGCTAACTGCACACTATCTATTTCCTTTTCTTTTATAATCTCATGAATATTGCCTAATTCTTGATTATTAATTAATTCTTTTAAATCATTAATGACCTTTTGGTCCAGGCCATAATGAAAATTATCGTTAATGCTCATAATTACACCATACCTTAATTTTTAATAAACATAAGAGACCATAATATTAACGTAACTTGCTTTCTTTCATCATTAGAAATATAATAAAATTATTTTAGTTAACTACTATATGGTTAAATTTCTATTTTGTTTACTGCTACTATTATTAGTAATAAATATACTAAAGAGTAAAGCCTAATGAAAACCCCACAGGAAATTCTAGAATATTTTCAAAGCTTAAGCAAGAACGTATCCCTAATTAGGAGGTGTCTTTGACGTAGAGAAGCTAAAATCACGTCTCGAACAGTTGGAGTTACAGTCTTCAGATATTAACTTATGGCAAGATAATGAAAAAGCACAAGAGATCTTAAAGGAACGTGCTAAAATCAAGAGTCATATAGAATCATTTTTAAAGCTAGAAAGTGATTACAACAGTAGCATTGACTTAATGAAGTCTGCTGTTGACGAAAACGATGAAGAGTTTTTCAATGAAGTTAAAAACGAACTAGTAAAATTAGAAAAACTAATAAAACATCAAGAAACAGAGTCTTTATTCACCGGTGAAGCAGACAATAACGATTGTTTCTTAGAAATTCATTCAGGTGCAGGCGGTACTGAAAGTAACGATTGGGCTGACATGTTAATGCGCATGTATATAAGGTGGGCGGAAATCTATCATAATTTCAAAGTTGAGATTATAGAAAAACTAGACGGTGAATCAGTAGGTATCAAGTCTGTAACAATTAGAATTACCGGAGAAAAAGCTTATGGGTGGGCAAAAAGTGAAAGTGGTATTCATAGATTAGTTAGAATATCGCCTTTTGACTCAAATGGTAAACGCCACACCAGCTTTGCAAGCGTTGGAGTTACTCCCGTTATTGAGGATTCAATCAGCATTGCCATAAATGAAAAAGACCTAAAAATTGATACCTATCGTGCCTCTGGAGCTGGTGGACAGCACGTAAATAAAACAGAAAGTGCTGTACGTATCACGCACATTCCAACAGGTGTAATAGTGCAATGTCAAAATGGCCGTTCTCAGCACAAAAACAAAGATGAAGCACTAAAATTACTCAAAGGACGATTATATCAAATTGAGTTAGAAAAGAAGGAACAAAAAATGGCTGAAGAATATGGTAAAAAATGCGATATAGGTTGGGGCAATCAAATCAGATCATACGTTATGCATCCATATCAAATGGTCAAGGATTTAAGAACCGGACATGAAGTAGGCAATATAGCTTCTGTTTTTGATGGTGACATAGACTGTTTTATAATGAGCGTATTAACTACAAAAGGGCTATAGCCCCTTACAAAATTACCTTCAGCTCAAAGCATTGGATTTACTACTACTTTCTTAATTTTATTGAAACAAAAAACTGATTGCCATCACGATAAACAAGTAGCATAATCGAATCCTTATTGTTCTTTTTTACCACTAAATTAACTTGCTTTTGAAAAGCGTTAATATCTGTAATATCCGTACCATCAACTTGAACGATAATATCTCCTTTCCTAATACCACGTGATGCAGCATTACTACTACTATCAATGTTGGTAACCATCACACCTTTTACGGATATTTTATCTTTTATATCACTCGGCAAATTTGAAACAGTAAGCCCAGTAGGTCCTGATTTATCATTATCATGACTTTCATCATCACCATGATCATCGTTTGTAAATTCACCCACTACAACCTTCACATTTACTTCCTTACCTTTTCTAAGTAACTTGACCTGCACTTTCTTATTAGGCTCAGTTCTTGACACTATTTGAGGTAATTGCGCCATTCTATCAATTTTTTTTCCATCAAACTCTAATAATATATCACCTACCTTTATACCTCCTTTTTCTGCAGGACTGTTCTTCGTCAAATTTGCCACTAATGCACCCTTTGTATCTTTTAACCCTAAAGACTCAGCAAATTCTTTTGTTATAGGCTGAACTTGCACACCAAGCAAACCACGTTTTATTTTTTTACCACTCTTCAATATATCAATAACCGATGCAGCCAGATTAGATGGAATAGCGAAACCTATGCCTACGTTACCTCCAGACTCAGATGGAGAGTAAATAGCAGTGTTAATACCTATCACTTCTCCACTTAAATTAAATAATGGTCCTCCAGAGTTTCCTTTATTAATTGCAGCATCAGTTTGAATGAACTCACTCATGTTACCAATACTAATATCCCTCGACCTTGCAGAAATAATTCCTTTACTTACAGAACTGCCTAAACCAAAAGGATTACCGATTGCTATAACTGGGTCTCCAACCCTTGCTTCATCAGAATTACCAAATTTAACATGCGAAAATTGTCTATCAGCATTAATCTTGAGCACAGCTAAATCAGTCTGCGAGTCATAACCCACAACTTCTGCTTTGAAGTAAGTGCTGTCGTTCATGGTAACTGTTATCTCCTTAGCATTTTTGATAACATGATAATTAGTCACTATGATACCTTCCTGATCTATAATAAACCCAGAACCAAGAGATATTACCTCTCTGTTTACATGGGGCCCCCTATCCATAAAGAACTGATCGAATTGATCAAAAAATCTCCTGAATTCATCAAAAAAATCATCCCGAGGAATAGAAGGAACTCTAGTTCTGCCATTATTTTCCTGTTTGATTATTTGCTCACTTGAAATATTTACAACTGCTGGAATAAGTTCTTCTACCACATCAGCGAGCTTCTTTTCACTATAATCACCCAAGTTAGTGGTTTGAGCACATAAAGAAAATGAAATTAGACAGCATATAAGTATAGATAAGAATTTACTCTTCATAATTTACTTCCATCCCTTATTAAAAATATTAAAGAAACTATTATTTGGCGAAAGTACAAACTTCGTATTTTCACCAGAAAATGCTTTATTGTAAGCATTCATAGAGCGATAAAAATTAAAAAATTCCTCATCAACACTAAATGCTTCATTGTAAATTCTTGTAGCTTCAGCATAGCCACGCCCACGTATCTCATGTGATTCTTTCACTGAGCCAGCAATGATTTCTCTTTTTTGCTTATCAGCTTTCGATCTAATTTCCTGCCCTGCCTGCTCCCCTTCAGCTCTAATTTCTTTCGCCTCCTTTTCCCTTTCAGTTTGCATACGGCGAAATATAGCAGAACTATTTTCTTCTGGAAGATCAGCTCTCTTAATTCTCACATCTACGACCTCTATACCAAATTTTTCAGCTTCAGAATATACTCCACGATGAATCAATTTCATAACTTCTGACCTCTTCTCGTTAAGTAAGCTAATCAATGAAAATTTACCTATATTTTCCCTGATATGTGCTTCCATAATCGGATATAATCTCCTGCTTAGCCCTGATTCATTCCTCACAGCTTGATAAAAAACAACAGGTTTTGTTATTTTATATTTAGCATAGGCATCTACAATAATACGTTTTTGATCTGCTGTAATCACTTCTTTCGGAGTGCCGTCAGCACTTAAATCCAAAACTCTCTTGTCAAGCAAGACCACACTATTTATGAATGGTAACTTAAAATATAACCCACTTTCTCTAATATCTCTAACAACTTTACCTAGCTGAATAACTATTGCTTGATTTGTTTCGTATACAACAAACATTGAATTAAATAGAACTATCAGCAAAGCAACAAGAATAAAAATAATTTTAATACTACGGCTCATAACTATTTCCCTAAATTTGCAAGAGGTAAATAAGAAAACATACCCTTCAGATCATCAGTTACCACAAATTTATCAACCTTACTCAAAATATTTTCCATGTTTTCAAGATAAATCCTATTCTTCACAAGCGAAGGATTTTGTTTATATTCTTCATATAGAGATAAGAAACGGCTCGCGTTACCTTTTGCTTCGTTGACAATCTCATTTGCATACGCTTCTGCGTCCAATTTTATTTTTATCGCTTCTCCTTTTGCCCTAGGTATAATGTCATTACTGTAAGAATATGCTTCATTGATAGTACGTTCTTTATCTGCACGTGCACTCTGAACATCCCTGAATGAGCTAATTACTTTTTCTGGTGGATCAATTTTTTTCATTTGAACGGACAAAATTTCTATACCCATCTGATATTTATCAAGAATTTGTTGTAACAAAGTTCTGGCATCCAGAGGAATCTCTGCCCTGCCTTGCCCTAGTGCAAAAGAAATAGTATTCTTACCTATTATCTCCCGCATAGCACTTTCAGCAGCATTCTTAACACTTAACCCACGCTTGTAGTCGCGTACTTTAAACAAATAATCCTTAGCGTCTTTAACACGCCACTGAACTTCAAAATTAACATTTACTATATTTTCATCCCCAGTGAGCATTACACCTTCACCACGATCTATATCCCGAGCATAAGAACTACTGACCCCAACTTCTTCGCGATTTATTTCTTTAACATTAACCTTTAAAACCTTACCTATAGGATAAGGAAAATGATAACGCAAACCAGACGTCTCTGTATTAGAGTATTTACCAAAAGTAAGTTCCACTCCTTCTTCACTTGGATGTACAATGTAAAAACCTGTACAGATATAAATCAATAAGATCGCCAAAATAAGATAACAAGGCCTTTTTCCTCTATTCCTAAATAAAAAACATTTTAAATCAGATATAGCCTTATTTAGAGCATCTTCACTATTAGCAGCTCTTGACCTCTTCCCAAAATCCCAAGGGTTATGCCCGTCAAACATTGTTATTTATTTCATGGTTAATAGCTTTATACTACATACTTAGTAAAAAAATGCAAACAGAAATTGCTGCTTAGCAGACCGTAAACCTCTTTTTCTTTATGTAGAACTGTAGACTCTATCGAAACTTCTGGCTCTTTTTTAAACTCACCACCCTTAATGTACAAAATGCCTTCATTAAAATCAAGTAGCAATAAAACCACTAATAACATCAGTACTGCAATGATTAACGCCCTTTTCATATTCAAATTTTCTACGCTACAAAAAACGCGTCAAGTAAACTTATTGGTAGTTATGAAAATATTCACCATAAACTTAACACTAATTTAATAATCAAAAATATACAATTGAGTATGTTAACTAATATTGAGGTCAGAAATGAACAGTACTCAACAAATAAATCAACAGGAGCAGCCTAATGGAAGCTGGAGTTCCCACAATAACTTGTTATATAGAGAGAATAGTAACAGTATACAAACTAACAACAATTCTTTCGCCAAAAACTTGAAAGGTATGGCAAGTATAAGTAAATTTCAACAACTACCTGTACAGAAACAGACATTAGTAGTAGCTGCAGCAGGTGCGGTAGGTGCAATTGCACTGCCATTTTTGCTTACTGCTTTACCAATTGCCATAGCAGGTGTAGTATTTACCGTTTCACTATTTTTCACTGTAAAACTAATTTCTTTAACAGCACAAGGAACAAAATGGGCAGCAGGAAAAACAGTAGATGGCATAAAATACACTGCGGGCAAAATTAAAGATGGTGCTGTTTATGCTAAGAACGGATCAATGAACGGCATAGGTGCTGCAATAAAAGGCACTGGAAATGGAATTAGGAAAGCAGGAGAGCAATTACATCATGCTGGCTCAAGTATAAAGAGATCTAATTCATATAAATTAAAGACTCCAGAGCACAACAAGGAATTATTAGTAGTTGACCGCACCACAGACAAAGATACCAAATTTGATAATACTAAGCAGTTATTTGAAGAAATACTTGGAAATAAAAAGTTGGTAAAAGATATATTATCTAGGATAGTATCATCACTAACTGAAAAAATAGAACAAGAAAACAATAAAGTTGCAAACGCAGCAAAAAATAGTCAATATGAAACATTAAAGTGCAGATGGCAAGCACAGAAAAATTTCATTGAAAAACTGAATGCTAAAGAGTTAAAAGAGAAATTAAAAGATTATAATCCCGCACTCTATGGTATATTCTCTGAACATCATAAAGAAGTTGAAGAAGCTATCTCGGAGTGCAAGGATAGCTATAAGCAAGTAGACAATGTGAATGAAGGCATAGGAAAAAGATTGTGGAATAACTTAAAAAACAGGCTATCATCAAGTAGTAATATCAATAGCGGAGCTAAATCTTCAACTCCAGTAGAAGGTGATAACGTATCAATTGCATCATCATACTATAGCACCAGCAGTGAAACAGGTGAAGACAGTATATCAAGCAGCAGATCTAGATCTCCAACTCCAGTAGAAGATGATAACGTATCAATATACCACAGCACCATAGGTGAAGACAGTATATCAAGCAGCAGATCTGAATCTCCAGCTCTACATGCAGGTATCAACAAGCACACTGGAAATAAGGAACTTAAACGTGTTTCAATACCACAAGTCCCACCACATGAACTTGCACTGCCTCGCAGAAATTCTGATGGCGGTATAAGTTATAAGAGTCCTATAACTCCTAAACTGTCTCACAGCAGTTCAAAAAGTAGTGGCATAGGTTCTACACCAAAAACTTCTCGTAGTAGTTCTTTAGACTCTCAGCAGTTCTTAAAAGACATCCAGATTACAAGAAAAATACTTCGCAAAACCGGTTCATTGGACAATCTTATGCTGACACAACCATATAATGTACAACAAAGGGCACAATAAGCTGTTCCTTACAAAGAGTGTTACCAAACAGTAACACTCTCCTTCTCTAACAAATGATCTTTTCCAGAAGTCGTTTCGACTTTAGTATCATCTAGCTTAGTGCTACCTAACCATTTA